CTTTAGGAAATCCTACGAATAACTATTTATTATCGATCTGTATCATTCGAATCATTTTGATCAAAATTGGGATAGTCCTGCGGAGATCGTACATAAGATATCCACAGGACATGCTACACGGGATATCCTCAGGTAATCCTACGGATAACGTTTTGTTCTGGATCAAACTGGGACTATTTCGATCAAATTGGGATGTCCTGGGGAGATCTTTGCTATGTGGGTAATGTCAATAAAATTTTTCAACTTACGTCGCTCGCATCGCCAATTGCCGATCGTTCGGACATCTCCATCTTTCACCTCGTATAAATCTCCGTAACGCACGAGCCAAAATTGGATCGTTTATTCCGACGGGAAACATTATTCTATTTGTAGCCTTTTGTTTCGCGCGGTACCCGTCCGTCTACAACAATAAATATTTGCAATTTATAAAAACGTATGTAAATTGGTACGTGTCTCTCTTTTATTTACTGTTCCTTCCAAATAAAAGCCCATATTCACTGATTACATTTAGCGCTAATAATAAGTGAGCCAGTCTAATTTTTTATTTTTTCTATGTTGCATGGCTTTAAATATTAATAATTGATCATGTTGATTGTTAATACCCAGATAGCACTGCATATCTTATGGACGTACATTTTAAATCCAGTTTATATCCACATGTCCGTGGACACAAATGGGACTTAAATCAGATGTCCACAGACAACATATGTTTTAAAGACATCTTTTTTAAGGGCCACCGCACAAGCTTCTCCATAACGAGTTACGTTACGTCCCAGCAAACACAACGATGTAATATATATAGGTTCTTTGTATTTGTTCTTTATAGCTGAACTAGTGCAGCCAGTTCAGCTATAAAGAACAGACCTCTTATCTCTTTCATAACATTAAATATCATAAAGTAACCAGTTACATAGTAAGTAACACACATGTTACATGTACTTCTGAATGTTAGCAACAAAAGCACTTTTCTGATATATCTGAGATATGTATCACTGTACTTTTAATATTACCCTAACAGAGTCGACTCTAAGTCGATTCTGAGTCGACTATGGCTGCTGGACGTCTGGAAAATAGACGTCCGCAAGTCGACTTTAGACGACCTAAAGACGTCTCTAAGTCATACAATGTCCCACTTTGAAGACGACTGTAAGTAAAGGCACTAGATATGTAGGTATTCTCATCCGCCATTTTGGTTCCTATTAGATGGAGAATTATAGCGTATACAGGGTGACACTTAAAGACTGCCCACTAAGTACATAGCGTTATTCCTTGCCAAAAAATGAGTCGAAAAAAGTCCTGAATCATTTTTAATAATTGACGTGTTACACATGTACGCTATACTATACTAT